GAATATACATATTTGTTTTTAATCAATTTTTATAATGGTTATTTTTTTTCTTTTTTGAATTTTTGCTCAAATTAATTTTACCATGTCTGACTTAAGGTCTATTTGAGATAGCTTTTTCATTATTTTATTTTTCATAAAGTAGTCATAATTTTTGTTAGCTACTATTTTTTGTTGTTGCTTTCTCAATATCTTTTCAAAAACTTTTATAGTGAAAAATTGTTTTTATAATCATAGCAGTTAAATGACTTCACAATTAACCCTATAAAAAGTTACAATCATCCCAAATAGACTTTTAATCTTTATGTGAGGCAGTTTAAGCTATGATATTTTTGTTTTTAAAATCTTATTTTTAACCATAATTTCAAAATTAATTTTTAAAAGTAGAAAAATTAAATAATGATCTAAACTTATCTTTCAAATATATATTATTTTTTACTATTTTTTTACCCTGAAAGTAATTGAGAAGCTCTTCCAAATAAAGTTTTATTCTTAACCAAATTTAAAAGTTAATCTTTTTTTTTTGGACATTTAGGTCATTTAAGATAAACTCACACACACATTGCATACATAAAAATTTGAACCCAAGATCATTTAGGCTTCGTTTGAGACAGCTTTTTTATTGCTTTCTAAAAAAAATTTGTACTAAAACTCCGTTTTAGAAAGCAATAAAAAGCCGTCCCAAACGAAGCCTTAGTTAGAAGCTTAAGTTCTCAACCAAGAGATCAAAATAAGATGTGTAATATTAATCTCTATAATAATAAGAAAATACACAAAATTTTATTTAATAATTTTTTTAATTTAGAGATTTGAGTACTTTCGTTTTTTTTTTTAAGAGATTTAAGTACTTTGGCTCGAGGCAAAGTACAGAAGGATGTGTGAATTTGAGATTAAATTGATATAAATGAAAAATTGATTAAAATCTAAATAAAATTTGTTGGATGCAATTTTTTTTTTAATCGGGCGTTGGCGAATAAAAGTCAGCTTTGACAGTCTTATCCACAAGAGCGAAGTAGTAGCAGTGTTTGACAACTGGTGGACCTGTTTCTCTTTCTATCTCTTAATGTTTCCTCGTGCAAAGCAATTCATATTCCGTAGTTTCCGCTCCTGATAGCTGCAAAAATGGACGGCTAGGATCGTTCCCGTCGCCTTCAAAGGCGGGAATGGCGCGAATCAAGCGCAAATGCAGTGGAGCGGTGGGTTAACCGCCTGCTATCCTGCTTTTATTTTCCTCCGCATTTTTAGTGTTTTTTGGACCATTGTTTGTGCAGCATTATTATTTTGCCGGAATATTTTAAAGGGCGTTTTGAGAATTAAAAGACTGAGGCTTAGACGGTTTTTTATTTTTTTAATTCCTTTTTAAAAAAGAATTTTGATATAAAAAATTTAAGAAATAATAAAAAGTCCTCTTAAATAAAGTTTGAATTTGTTATTATTTGATTAATTAGCCTTTATTAGATCAATCGTTGGTTATGGCTGATGGTTTTGATTAAGGGTGTAAATAAGCATTTATTAGGGGATTATTTTTCATATGTCAATCATAATTTTATTTGAATTTTTAAAATTTTTGTGCTCAAAAGATGTGTGTTAGAGTAGCTTTTTTTTAAAAAAAAAATTCCCTACAAAAGATTTACAATCATTTTTAAAAAAAATTACAGTCGTTTCAAACAAATCCTAAGTAGAATTTGATACCCTTTTTTGGTAGAAGGGTTGAGCCAAGCTCATGCGACGAACCCAAACTTGATTAGTTAGAAAAATAACATGTGCAAGCTCTATTCTTCAGCTCAAGCTAAAGTCATCATGATGATTCCTTGGGGAAGGATCAGAGCTTAGTCGAGAAGGCAGGATCACATTGGGATAAGTTATGACAAAAGCTTATTTGGAGTTGGAATTGATTGGGGCTCGCAAGAGAAGGCGTGGACAACATCAACTACATTGGGGGACGTCATGGTAGGAGCTCATTAGAGAACATATTGATAGGACAAGTGATGTATGGATCGTCGGAAGACTCAACCTGCAAGAAGGATTTCGGTTTTCCCATTCCAGGGAAGAAGAAGAAGGGAAGCTCTAAGCTTCAAAAGTGTAATATATCATTCAATCCCCCTCTTCCTCTACAATACTTCATACTTATAAGGCTAAAAAGGAGTATTCTAGAAGGTAATAATAACAAACTAGATAAGGTGTCCTAGTGAACACTCCTAGCTTAAGATGCACCGCATCAACAAGTAGTAGAGAAGTCATAGCAATAGCTTATTGGAGAAATTAATGATGAGATGAGCAAAGAGGAAGCTGCGTTGGGAGTTCGATAGAGAAGTCATCAATGAGAAGAGTGCTGAAGTATGCATCGATTGGTTTATTGGCATTTGAAGAAAAAAACGAGTTAGTAAGACTTATGAGTTTGCGGCCACCTTCCACACTAATATCAATTAAACCGGAGAAAAAATATGGGTTTAATGTTTTTAATCAACCCAACTAGCCAGCCAACCAGTCAAGCCTCGCCAAACTCAAATTCAATCTCTTTTAATAAAAGAGCTATAATTTGAGCTTGAGTTCAAGTTCGTGATCATAAAACATTCGTTTATGAATGTAAAATATAAAGACGGTATTCATCAACACTCTCATGACTATTAACTCCATAGATTTATTCATTAATAAAAATCAATAACGTGGCTTCTCATGGGCCCGCACATTGAAAAAAAAATTCAAGGAGAAAATATCTAAGCCTCAATTACTTATTATTTTAAACATATAATAACTTATTAAATTAAGCATATACTACTCATTACAATTGTTGACCTTACCCTATATAAATTTATTATCTAAATAAAAAAAATTATTTTTATCATATAATAATTTCATAGCTTTTTTTTTTTTACTGAATGGGTGAAAAAGTTGAATGCGAGAGAAATATCATCGCTACACCACAACATAAATAAAATGTACGGCATAATTACTGATGTGGGGCCTACTCTTCCAATCAAAGAATTCAAAACTTAAAATCGAAGCGCAGTTCCATTCTTTCTCAATGTCTAAAAAAAAAATTACAATGGATTAAAGTGTAAAATAAAAAAAATAAAGCAAAAGTTAAACGCGCCTAATTTTTATTTTTTCAAAAGAATTTTTAAATAAAAGAAATGCACTTCTTTTACTTTTTTTTTTTGAGAAAAAATATTTGAAATAGTTAAAAGCATTGTTAGTCATTATAAGCAACATTAATTTAAAATATTTATTTATCTACTGATTATAAATTCTCTTCGTCAGCTGTCTTGTACAATAATTTTGACATTATTAATTGTAATGGAAATGATTGATTTTCGAAATAATTTGGGCTTTTATGAAAATAATTCATAAGAGATTAGAGTGCATTTATATGTCATGATTAAATAAAAGAAAATTAAGATTTATTTTTATATGGGATAATTTTATTACTATTTTTTACGATAATTTTCTAGAAAAAAAATTTCTTAAAAAAAACGAAAAAATAGTGGCCAAATATTGCTCCAAATGAAGCCTTAAAGATTTTTAAAGTTTAACATTAGATTTTTAAAGCTTAAAAAAGATTTTGTATTGCACTTTACCCATTATTAGAGAGTTTAAGCTTCTAATTAAAAGGTCTCGCATATGATATCTTGATGATTATGTGTGAAATTGCAATTAGATTCACTTAAACTCTCATTAAAAAAACTTTTATAAGAGAAAAACACAAAGATAGAGATCTTGAAAGAGATTTGTAAGATTTTATTAAAAAAAGGGTGAATAGATTTTACTTTAGATGGTTAGAACTCATGCTGGATTTTTTGACTGTAATATCTCCTTCTCAGATGAGTGTGACCAAGCAAAAACATAAGAAATCTCTTAAAAAGTAGCTCTAATGCCACTTGATTTTTCCACCACCTATCACATAATGCATTCTATATATTTTAAATTAAACATTATTGTTGGTATGCCAGATATACATACATTGCTAAGACAGCTTTATTCTTCTAGTCTACTGTAGCGTATACTCTGACCCGCAACAGCACACCAACAATGATGATTTTTTTTTTTTCAAGTTTTTCTCTGATTTTTAAGCAAGACAATCTTAAAACATTGGGCACCTAATTCACATCTAATACAACACCATGGTTATTAGTGCTTGATTTTATTTGACTTGATAAACAACTTCAATTTTATTATTTTATAAACTACATTTATTTGATTAGTAGAATAATACTAACTTATTTACAACCCTATTAACAAGGGATAGAGTTGTCAATATATAAAACGACATGCAAATTTTATGTTCAAATTGCCTGGTTTAACAAATCGACCGGGTTCAAGTTTAAGTTTTCGACCCAATTATTATATCAAGTAGGATTCGAGTAAACACATAAACCCACAATAAAACTTGTTTGACATGCATCCTATCCGCCTTGAGACCTTACCCGTCACGCTTGTGTTGCACTTGCCACTCACACCTACGCAGCAGCGCTCTCGCTCGCAAAGTTGCACTTGCTTTGCGCTCTCAACCTCAAAATTGCCCCCATCCTCGCACAATCGCACCCACACTAGAGGTGCGCTCACACCTGCCCTCGACCCCTCATACTATGCTCATACCCATGGCCTCGCGCTCACAGCTTCATCAGCTCCATCTAGTAGGCAAGTCATATCGAGTCGGGTTAGGTTTAAAGCGGTTCCGATTCGATCGAAGATTATGAACAGTTTCACAAACATGAACGGATTTGAGTCGCGAGTGTTTTGAAGTCGCATCAAATTAGAATTGGATCAAAATCTGACCCGAAAATTAACAAGCACTGTAATCATAGTGTATCCATCATCAACAGTCCCGAATCTCTCATATCTCCCCATTTAATGGCCTCACTCAGTGCCAGAATCTTCCAATGGACAACATTCACCCAAACGCTTTCCAAAAATCAGCCATATAATGCAGCTCCCAATAAGCTCAATTGATTTCCACTAAACAATATAAATAATAATAATAATAATAATAATAAAGCAGCGGCTGTAATGAAAAGTTATTAACAATAGCTTCATCATTAACCATTTAACCCCACATTACTTCCCAAATTACAATTATGCATTTTCGTACAAAGCATAAAGTTCATGCCCCCCACTGAATTAGTTCTGATTGATGAGTTCGGATCTTTGCTACCCAATTAGTCACATGGCTAGCACGTGACATTTCGCCTATAACACATCGCATATAGCCAAAAACATTAAAACTGCTACAAATAAGAACACGAGAAGAAAAAAAAACCTTTAATTACACATATTTCTGCTGTCTCTCACGGCCAACACTGTATATTTAACGATCACAACGGCTGGATCCTCGACACCACGATAGGGCTACGGACCTCGTGCGTCCCATCAGACCACGTTAAATATCCGTAGTCGGCTGCGGGGGCGGAACCCGGATCACCAGCAGCCGTTACCGCCGTCACGGTGACAGTCACGGCGAAGCTCTGCTTGTTCACCGCCGGCGAGAAAACCAGCTTTCCTGGCTTCACACTTACGGCTAACCCCTTACCACTAACCATGGACACCTTCGCCTTATAAACTCCAGACCCCGCCGCCTCCACGTTCGTCACCGTCCTCACGACCGTCTTGCTCTGGTTCACAGAAGCCGCGCCTTCGAAAACAACCATGATCGACGGGTAATTAAGGTTTTCCGGCTGTGGACGCTTGGCCGGGCACGTCACCGGCGAGTGAGTGATGATCTGAATCATTTTGGGTTCGTACTCCAAGGCGCAAAGGAAGGTGACGTAATCGGCGTAGCCCATATCGTACACCAGTCCCGGGTCCATGGCTTTGTAAAGATTAAGATGACCGGCGCCGATGTCCAGTGGCGTAACCGGTTCGCCAGTGCCCTCGTCGGTCACCGGCTGAAGAGTGTTGTCCACTAGATTGGACGACGTCATCATCGCCGATCGGATGGCAGCCGGGCTCCATGAAGGATGCGCCGATTTGAGCAGCGCGGCTGCGCCGCTGACGTGAGGGCATGCCATGGAAGTCCCGGAGAGAATGTTGAACTCGGTTTTCCGGTGATCGGAGTCTAGTCCGGTGGGGCCAACGGCATCAGTCCAGGCGGCGAGGATGTTAACTCCCGGAGCGATAAGGTCCGGCTTGAGAACCTCTGGCGTGAGACCGTTAGGTCCGCGGCCGGAGAAGGAGGCGACGACGGGGGCGGGCTTCACTCCGATAATGGTTCCACGGAAAGCGAGCGTAGCAGTAGGGTTAGCGTTCGCGGTAATGTAGGATTTCACGGAGTCGCCTTCGTCGGAGCCGACTGCACAGGCGGGGAGAACGTGGGCGTCGCCGACAAGTCCTTCGCCATTGGATATGCCATTCGCGAGTATCATTCCGACGCCGCCAGCGTTTTTCACGACGAGGCCTTTCGCAACTCGCGGGCTACTTCCACGATCACAGACGACGATTGTCCCCTTCACGAGCTTCGGATCAAGGGAGTTCTCCATGCAGAGGGAAGCTGGAAGGCCGCCGGATTTGCCTGGGTAGACTAATGGGTACATTTGACCGTCGATGGCCGGACCGGAGTAAAGGGAAACGCCGGAGAGCCGACGGCCGTCGCCAAGAACGATGTCGGCGGGGAAAGTCCGATCGATTGTCCCAGCGCCTACAGTGGTGAGCCAGGGAGCGAGGTTAGTGACAGACATGGCGGTAGGGCCGTCATTACCGGCGGATGATGCGACAAAGACACCCTTTGAGACAGCGCCGAATGCGCCGACGGCAATAGGGTCGAGGTAGTAAGGTGCAGAGATTCCATCGCCACCACCAATAGAGATAGAGATCACATCAACGCCATCAGCCACAGCGCTGTCGAATCCGGCGAGAATGTCGGAATCCAAACAGCCGGAGCCCTTCCAGCACACCTTATAAACAGCGACGCGAGCCTTTGGGGCGACACCCTTCGCGATGCCGGAGGCATACCCAGAAAGACTCGCCCCGAAAACATGGCGGCCTGCGGCCGTTGAAGCAGTGTGGGTTCCATGGCCATCGGCGTCCCGTGGAGATCTGAACTCAACAGTTTCGTTTATCCCGCCAATACCACCAGCTGCATCAGCGGAGGCATCATGGCCGCGAGAGAAGAATCGAGCGCCAACAAGCTTGCGGTTACAGATCGAGCCGGGGAAATTCTCTCCAGTCTCGCAGGTGCCGCGCCATCTGGAGGGAACGGGGCCAATATTGCGGTCCGAGAAGGATCGGCGCTCGGGCCAAACGCCGGTGTCGAGGATGCCGACGATAACTTCCGCACCGTAGTCGGAATCGGACCAAAGGCCTTGCTTGTTCCGCAGGCCCAGGAATTGGGGAGATCGAGTGGTGTGGACATAACGGAGGCGGTCTTGAAAGACAGCGAGGACGGCCGGGTGATTGCCGAGCGCGGCAGCGCGTTCGGCAGTGAGGGAGGCGGAGAAGCCATGGAAAACGGTTGAGTAAATGTGTAGAGTGGATACACCGAAAGATGGAGAGGTGTACCAGTGCTCGTGGGTAGGGAAGATGGAAGGCTTCATCAGATGGTTGATGCGGAATATGTAGGTCTTCTTATATACAGCGACAGTACCGGATCCCAGGGTTAGGGTTTGGAGGAGGAAGAAGAAGAGGAGAAGTGTGGATGATGTGGCGGCCATTGTTGTGGTGGAGGAAGTGAGATGAGCAGAGTGTTTCGACCTAGGGATTTATATATGAAATACGGAGGGTTTCCGCTGAGCGGCAACTTGCTCTATAAGGGAGTGGAAGAGTTATTTAATTATATTTATTTATTCATTTTATAGTTAACAGTTAAAATACTTATTTCTTAAGAATTTAATGATGAGATATTAAGGATTTAAAAATATATTATATTTATCTAAATAATTTGCAAAATTTATTGTGAAATTGCTGTTGCAGAAATTTGTCAGATCAGATCAATGATTCTTTTTTACTTAGAGATGCTCCTTACATCTTGGCTAGTTGCTCCTACCCACTCCATATTTTATTTATTAAATTATTTAAATATTATATTTTGAATAGGAAAAAAATAATTATATCTATCTTGGTACTATACTTAGGTTTCATTTGGAATGAATTTTTATTATTTTTTAAAATAAAATGTTAGTAGAAAAGTTATAATTCTATTTTCAAAAGCAATAAAAAATATTTTCAAATAAAGACTTAATTTGTTAAATTAAGGATTTAATTTGGGTTGACGAATAGAGTTTGAGTATTACCAAATTTGACAAACTTGAATATATTTGACCTGAATTGAGCCTGTTTATTAGACTCTTTAAATTGTTCGGTCTGAACCCAATTAGACCCGAACTTGACTAACCCAAATATGACATGTTTTACCTATTTATTATATAGATCATGAAGTATTTTTGGATCAATAAAATACAATAAATTTGACTCAAACAAGACCTATTTAATACAAACCTGACTCTTTAAACTATAACTCGAATAATAATCATGTAAAATTTGAGTCAATTTGTATTTTTGAGCAAATTCAAAATTGACTTTAAGGTTAATAGGGTCAAAATTGTTAACCTTAACCCAACCGAAAGAATAATTAGATCAACACAAATTTGAATTTTTCGGGTTTGGCACACGGCGTGATATCTGATAGTGTTATTTATTGGCACACTTAACTAAATATTTTCTATTAATTTTCTTAGAGAAATATATTTGAAAATTCATTTTGGAATAACATACTCCCACATATATTTGTAAATTTCTAAGTGGAAGTCTGTCACAGACTCACACTCAATATTTGAACAATATTTTCATCATTCTCCAACACATTATACCAAAGTCATCTTTTCCTTTACAAAATCATTTTCTTCTTCACTCATCGTCAATCATGTGATGCCTTCCTCATGAATTCCTCTTCTCCTTCACACACAACCAATCAACGATGTCTTCTCTACGACTTCCTCTTCTCACACACCATTGATCCCTCAATGGAATCTTCAGTATGCTCCATTGTAAATATTTTTACTTGTACGTTGCATTTCTCGCAAAGTCCTTCTCAAATTTATATTCTGTTTGTCCCGCGATACTTTCAAGGTGGAGTCTTCTTCTCCTTCTCACTATGTCAGACCCACAATGCCTTCCCCATGAACTCCTCATTTGCACTAGCCATCGATCTCATGATACCTTCGCCACGAGTTCTATCATATATGTTATTGGTTTCACAATGCCATCCTACAAGTTTGAACCTTATTTGAATTATATTGGATTTCGAAGTAGTTTGAACCAATCTTGAATTATTTAGAATCCAATGAGCATTTTGAGAATATAAGAGGTTGTCCCTCGCTAAGCGTAATTTCATTCAAAATAAACTTTTATGCATATTTCTTCATTAAAATAAACAAAATGAATATTTGATCAATTATGAGAACTATATGAAATATAAATTCGAACTTGAAGGAAGGAATCTCCTTTCACAAATCTATTTTCTACTTATAGCATCGCCCAACATTTAAGAAAATCGATATATTTTTTACGTATATTTTTTGAACTAATATTCATCTACTTTCATTCATCAAATTGCTAAAAAAAAAAAAAAATACGATTGGCAACAAAGTAACCTTATTTCTTTCTAATCATTTTATCAATATCTCGATAATTTTAAATAATTTATTTTTCTCACCCTATATCTACTGTGAATGAGCGAACAATTGCTTGTCATTCTTATTACAAATTACAAAGTTAGAAAACTTTTCAGAGAATATTAGGGTTTTGCTTCGGAATGATTTCTCGTTGTTATTTAAAATAACTTTTTAATATAAAATTTTCTAATTCAATAAAATTATGTATTGAAAAATTGAATAAAAAATCATTAAAAAAGCTGTTCGACAAAACCTTGGTCTCTCTTCCCCTTATCAATTTATAGAAAAAGTTATGTCACTATAATGCTAATGCATAGGGATTAATTAAAAGTCATTTAATTCATATTTAATAAAATTTAACAAATTTAATTAAATTTTATAATATGGATATTATCACCAATATTTATCCAATTATAAAATTGGTGAATTCACATTGTAATTTGTTTATCAATCAAATTAAAAGGTTTTATTTAAATTTTAATTGAAATTTTTCCAAAAATAATTTATTGAAAATTCTTTCATAACTTAAAAGACATTCATAATTAGGATAATTTTGATATTTTGTAGCAAAACTAAATTTGAATATTTTAGGAGGATAAAACAAAATGAAGAAAATTTCCATATTTTTATACAAACAAAATCATGATTTTAAAAGTTAGATGCCGACATTACCAAATAAACCTACAAATTGCGACGTGAAAGACATAGACTAATTAATGGGCCCTCGTCACAACAGTGAATTTTGTCAGCAGAGTTGGGCCCAAAGATCGAAATGGACGACGGGCTGTGCGTCGTCCATTCGGTAAAAATTAAAACAGTGGGCCTTACGACAACATACGTCTACGTGCTTGGTTTATTGTCTAGAAAGCTTGCTTGGGCTTTTATATATCCCGTCCTTTAGCGGGTCTAGGGTAGTAACGAGTCGAGAAAAGCAGCCACTTTAGCCAACTCGGCTTGTTAGTCAGAACATCGGTTCAAACTTGAGCTCGAGCTTGACAAGCCGCACTGCAGGTCGGCTGGTTGAGCGGTTAGAGATTGACTCGTCTGATTTTCCCGTCCGTGTTTCTAATCTCTGCCCGTGTTTCTAATTCCTGCTTCGTTCCGTTGAGCACACGCGGCACGAGGTCAGCTCCGTTCCATCGAGCGCTTTGTTTATCTGTTAACATATCATGACTGAAAAAATTAAAATAAAATTAATAAATTTAAGATTCATATTAGTTAACATATCATGACTCAATTTTTTTCTCTTACTTATATAAGTAATTATTACTCTAGACCTTCCATTAAAAAAAAAATCAAAACTTTATTTAAATTATTGATCTTAAACATTGAAAATCATATTAGATCAAAGCAATTCAATAAGTGGGTTTAAAAAGATTTGAATATTCTTAAAATAAAAAAAATTTGATGATCACAAAAAATAATAATAATAATAAAATTAAATAGAAATAATATTCTTATGATTTTTTTTTTTCTACTCTAAAATCACTTCACGAGCTTCATAACAAATTTTGGATTTCTTTTTGCTTATGTAGGAGTAAATATACCATAAATATATGGTATGTATCATTAAAATGCACATCTGCATCTTTATATTGCACCTCTTCATATATGAAATGGGCCACTAAGATGCATACAATATTTGTCCCATACGGCCCATTTAATTCAGCTTTTTGAAAGCCCATTCTGAGTTTTAACTAATAAGTTTTCAGAAGGAATCGAAGAATATCATATAATCAATATAAGCTACCAAAAAAGCCCACTAAGACCATTTATAATAAAGAAATTCCTTTTTAAAACTTTTTTTCTCTCCATTTACTCCATTTTTGCATCATTTCCTTGGTAAAAACATCTTTGGCACAAAAGTCATTCTTTACATTTTCCGTTCTACGACCAGCTTGCATTGAAGGATGGCTTGAAAACGGTTTATTCTCTAATCAGGAGATATTTATCTTTCCCCTTTTGTGTGGCCTTTATTGTATTACTCGGATAGCATTGTTCATATGTTTTTCAAATGTGATATTTTATTTTAGTTATAATGCAACCTCATGTCATTTCTTTCTTTCTTATTGTTGATGTTTAAAATAGATGAAGTATTGGGTTTTATCTATGGCAACAATTGCATTTTCGATTGATGTTAAAAATGGCTTTTACTTAACAATTCTATGCTTGGTTTACAATATTTGGAAGGAGTGTAATTCTAAGAGATTTAGGCTTCATATTAAAAGCTAATAACTTTTTTGTGAAGTAAAGCATGTACTCTCAAACATTCAAAATGAACTAGCTAGAATTCTTTCATAGTTTACTTGAGATAATTATGTGTCTTGTGTTCACTCTTGGATATTCTTGCAACACTAGGGTTTAGGGTTTAGAATTTGATCTCCCAAGTAGGATTTGATCTCGAAATTTTTGTAATTATTTTGATAATAATAATAAAATTCGGCTAGGCCTTTTAAATTTTTCTCTAAAAAAATTAGAAATGTTGTCGCAGTGCCTGTGAAGATAATATCAAAGTGCAATTAGAATAACTAAGACTTTGTTTCGGACGGCTTTCTTATTTCTTCTTAAAGCAGCTTTATAGTTCAAAAATAAAAAATTTTATGCTAAAAATTGCTTCATGAAGCATTAAGAAAGCCGTCCCAAATGAAATCGAGTGTTTTGCCTGTCTCACTTTTCTTTATCGAAAAAGGCTTGATAGGATCACAAGCACGAAGCTAGAGCGGCTAGATTTTACGTGAAGAATTCTAGTTTATGAGAGCTTGATGTCACTAAGAAGGGTAATGGAAGAGGCTGTGGAAACAGCTAACTCATTACGCTGGAAAAAAAATTTTATACAAGATATTCTAATATATTTTATATTAGAATGAGCTGTAAAGCTATTAATGTCTTATTTGGGATAGCTTTCGGTCACTGTTTTTTTTTTTTTTTTTACTTTCAAAAAAATTTGTATAAAAAAGTTTTAAGAAAACTGTCCCAAACGAAGACTAAGATTTTGTTTTGGACGACTTTTTTATTGCTTTTTAAAACAGTTTTTTAATAAAAAAAATTAAAATTTTGTATTAAAAAGCTAATTTAAGAAACAACAAAAAAGTCGTCCCAAATAAAGCCTATATTATTTTTAGATTAGTGAAACATAAAGTCCTCATTTATAATACTACTTTTAAAATAAATTTAATATTTTTTAAAATCATCTTGATATAAATTATAATAGAATACTCAAACATTTTTTTTTTCTTTTTCTTGATATAAATTATTATGTCTTCTTTCTATTCCTCGTGAAAGTGGGGCTAGCCCAGTTGGCCCAGATGGTCCAGTCCCGGCTGGGCCGACCTGCATTATTGCCCAATTCGGGCCCTGCTACATTCAATTCAGCCGTTTTTTTGCATTAATTGAAACTTTCATGATGAGACAATTTAATAATGAACCTTTGAAATCAAATGTAAGTAACGGTTAGTATCTTCTCACTGCTCTGAAATGGTTACTTCATGCCAAAGGCCATATTTGATCATGTTAAACTTTTTGAATCCCAAAGCCACTATAGCTAAAGTGAATTCTATGTTTTCTCTCAATCGAAGAAGATAGGATGAAAAGTAGAAAAAATGGGAGTTGTCTCCTCCGACTGTGGCGGATTATGCCATTGGAAATGTAGAGGGTGATGGCGGTGGCTAGGCGATGATTAGATGACGATCGAGCTACGATGGCGGGTGATAACAATTGGGCAATGACAATCGGATAATGATTGTTAGACACTAACGGTTGATGATGATGCTCGAAATGCAATATTGTGGGATGACTATCAGACAATGATGGTTAGGGCATCTCCAACCAAACTCTAAACGCTTGAATGACGTCCCTGTCCAGCTCTAGCTGAACAGGAAAATTTCCGTTATTTGGCTGCGGGTGAACTATGGGACGCCAATATTGGCGTTGCACTGTTCATCTCATCCATTTTTACCTCTCTATCGAACTTGCCGCGGGAAAGAAGAGGCGACCGTTACCTGCAAAAGGGTGAAAAATGGAGTTCGTTTCGAGATGAATCATAGCATTTTGCAGTTTCATGACATTTTGGAGTGAAAAATGAGATTTTTGGTTGGAGATGCTCTTAGGAAGTGGTCATCGAGCGGCAATGGTTAGGCAATGGAGGTTGAGCGACGACAATCAGATCGTGGTGATCGAGTGATAGTTGTCAAACAAAATCAAACATGTAAAGACTGTTAGGTGACAACAATCTAGTGAAGTTGACAATTTTAAACGCTCATAGTCGAACAAGTATTTGACTTTATTCAAACATATAAGCTCTTCCTAATTCATGGTCATTTTATATGTAGAATAGGGATCCATTTATAGGACATAAATTTATTTAAAAAGAAAATATGTATCAGAATATAAATTTTTGTTAAATTCATATTGAAATTAGCAAAAATAAATTTAATGCTTTTTAAACTAATCCTATCTAACTTGAATCAGAATATTTATATATATATATAATTAATTTCAAATTAAAATTTATATAAAAAGTTAGTGCAATTCTAAATTTAAAAAAAAAATTATTGCAGATCTAACCATTGATATTTTCCAAGTAGCTTTTCAGTTTGAGCAATTTGATAAAGGAGAAAAATTGCAAATACGGCCATAAATTAAAGGAGGCTATGGCTAAGAAGCTTAGCTGAGTATCTTTAGGATGAGCACATGCTGAAGATGGATGACTATTGAATAGACCAATCATATTTGGAGGAGTGTAGGTTTATGCCAAATTGATGTTAAGGAAATGATTTTTTTTTTTAAAGATATTTAGTTCAATTAAGACAGGCTCACACATACATCGTATATGTTAGCTCATATATGTACACGTGTCAATTTCTCATTGGTTCTATGTAACTATTAGTTGTTTCATTTTCTATATATACCTTAGCTCTGTATCGGATACAATTAATACATTATTTACATTTTTTGTCTACCTCTTTCTCTATCTTGTTCCTTTGTTGTTACCTTTCATGATATCAGAGCATGTTCTCTCTCTTAACCTTCCCCTGCCAAATCGAAATCAAGAAGACCAGAAACTCTGGTCCGCTTTGATCTCTCTACTCCCTGCTTCTTTCTCTATTTATCAAAATCAACATAGCTCTACTGATTTAGAGAGTCTCCGTTCCAGAAGAAGTGATCTCTAGAAGATATTCAAGATCTTCAAGCGGACTCTCAGCCTCTTTCCCTCTCCGTTACCGGTTTCGTCATCTCTTCGCAGCAATCCGTCACCGGCTTCAAATATCTGATTGTCTACCAATTCGCATCAAATTCATTGGACGCTGTCAACCATCAAGAATTGTATATAGCCCTTAGCTCCTTTCTCAATTGTAGGGTTTTCAGTCGATCTGTTGTCATTCAACATACCAAGAAGTGCAGAACTCCTCACTAGCAAAATAGCGAACCATAGCTCAACGACTTCCCACCTACCTACTTCCGATCTCTCCACCTCTCTCTCTGAGTTCACTGTGCCGGCTCCACTCAAGTTCTTGATCTCAAATCTCAAGAATTTAATTCCCACTCAGCTCACGGAGGACACCTACACCATTTGGCGCCTCCAACTCCTTCAACACTTCACTACGAACGATTTTGCCGGACATCTAACCGACACAACCTCGGCACCCACTGATCCGTCCAAATCTAACTACAATCTTTGGCACTTGAACAACATAAATCTAGTTTCTGCACTTCTTTTCACTATCTCACCTTCAATCCTCCCATGCGTTCAGTTCCTCTCCACTACTCAAGAAATTTGGGCAATTCTTGAATGCTAGTTACAACCTACAAATCTCTATAGGGTGATCCAACTCAAACGCGGACTTCACAACGTTCAAATGAAAGATTGCTCTATGCAGCAATATTTAGCTCAAATCAAAACCATCGTCGATCATATCTCCGCAGTTGGTTCCAAGATCAATACTGAAGACACTATCATCTACATCCTCAATGGTCTCCCCTCCACATACAACTCATTCAAGATCGCTATCAGAACATTGATGCATCCAATCTATCTTGATGTTCTTTACTCCCTTCTTTGCAGCGAGGGGATCAACATACGCAACGAACACCTCAAAGACTCCAATCCCACCTCCGATCAAACTGCCTTATATTTGAAACAAACAACCAACACCAGAAATCGTGGCTCATCTCGACCCCTCCCCCTCCCGTGAAACTTCACCTCCCGCCCGTTTGGACAAACACCCTCTTAAAAATAGTCAAACACTAATACCACACGCCCAATTTGTCAACTCTGTACAAAAATAGGACATTTCGCTCTCAATTGCTGGCACAGATGAAACCTAAAATATGTGCCGACAACTTCTTGGACACCTCGTGTCGTGTTTACTCAACAACCTTCCGCACCTTCTAATGATTGGATTCTTTATTCAAGGGCCTCTACCCATCTCACCCACGATCTTGCTAACCTACATTAATCATCCTCCTATACTTATGCAGACTCAGTTTACATAGCTAACGGCTAAACCATTCCGATCCAAAAACACTGGGCAAGTCATTGTCCCTCTACCCCGTTTCGGCTCGTAAGCTATATCTATGTAATCTTTTACATGATCCTTTTTTAGAACATAATCTTCTTTATATCTCCAAATTAACTAGTGATAATCAAGTGTGCATTTCTTTCAATGATGTCATTAAGGATCTTCAGGCCAATCGTCTGCTTCTTCGTAGTCATTCGTGACGGCCTATATCAAATCTCCACCAAGGATTCTACAACCAAAATAGCTCTCCGAGTCACCATAGCTTCCTCCTATGTCTGACACTCTCAGTTAGGTCATCCTCATCACCAAATTTTGTCTTCTTTAGCTTTTTTACATTCAAGATTTGTGTATCCCTTTCTCTTCCCCTGTTTTCATATCTTGTAAGTGTGGCTAAAAGTCACAAATTACCATTTAATAAAAGCATTTATGTTTCCTCTCGACCGTTTCAAATTATACATTCAGATGTTTGGGGTCTTGCTCCACAACAATCTTTAAATGAATATAGATTTTATGCAATCTCCATTGATGACTTTACTATATTCTGTTGGTTGTATCTTATACGTACCAAACAAGAAACCTTTAATCATTTTAAAAATCTTTGCTTACATTTTAAAAACAAGTTTCATACGATGCCTCAAACTTTTCGCTCCGATGGAGGTGGTGAATACACCAGCAATATATTCAAAGAATTCCTTCTATCTCAAGGTATTGTTCACCAAATTAGCTGCCCCCATACACCTGACCAAATGGAATTGCGGAACATAAGCATCGTCATCTGCTTGACACCTCTCGTACCCACTTCATGCATCGGGTCTTCCCATCTCTTTTTGGGCTGAAGCCATTACCATGTCCAATTATCTTATAAATCTCTTACCTTCAAAATCCATATCACTTCAAATTCCTTATCAAAAACTTCATGGAACACTGCCTAACTACAAGCATCTTCGCACTTTTGGCTGCTTATATTATCCATGGCTTTGGCCTTATGCACCTAACAAATTATCACCTCGCACTCACGCCTGCATATTTGTAGGATAGTCTTCATCTCACAAGGGTTATCGCTACCTCAACACTACAACTAACCAAATCCACATCTCAAGGCATGTCGTATTTCATGAACATGAATTTCATTTCAAATCATCTCATCCTTTCACACCAACAAACCAGTCTTCACACTTATATTCACATTTCCTACTTATTCAAACTTCTATATCAAACTCCCCCGTCAGCTCAATATCCATTCCTACTGCTACTATCTCCTCACCTTTGCTCCCATCTAATACTTCCCCAACCTCTCCTTCCATACAATCTGCTCAATGGGATACTCCTCAATCTTAACTTCCAACTCATCAAATGTAAACTAGATCAAAATCGGGTATATCCAAACCCAAGAAAAAATTCTTGACCTCTTCGTAACTCAACACACTCCCACCATTCCCATAACATACTCCCAAGCCGCCAAATTCTCCCAATGGTGATCCGCAATGTCCTCTGAATTTTTAGCTCTACAACAACATGGCACTTGGTCACTTGTCTCTCCACCTAAGGATCAACCCATTATGGGTTGCAAATGGACATTTTGCATTAAAACTCTAACCAATGGTCACAATGTATGGTATAAAACTCGACAGGTCGCTCAAGGCTATAACCAACAATACGGCATAAACTACAAGGAAACATTTAGTCTAATCACCAAAATGCCTACCAGCAGCATTCTGCTAACCTTGGTGCTTCACCGTCAATGGCCAGTCAAACAAATGGAAGTGGCCAACACATTTCTGCATGGTGACCTTCATGAAGAAACCTACACGAGATAGCCACCAAGCTTCACCGATGATCAATTCCTAAACAACGTCTACAAACTTCACAAATCTCTATATGGCCTCATCTAAGCTCCTCGACAATGGTTTCACAAACTGACCACATTTCTTCAACAATTTGGATTCGGGTTCAATCGTTCTGATCCCTCTCTTCTTTTATATTACCATGATAATATTGAGCTATATATCTTAACTTATGTTGACGATATTTTGATTACAGACAACAACTCAACCATAGTTCAAAAGCTATTGGAGTAATCACAATCAAAGTTCAAACTCAAGTAAATGGGTGAAGCATCAATTTTTCTTGGTATTCAGATCAATCGTACTCCAAATGGCTTCTTCCTCAGTTAATAAGACTATGCAAACACCATCCTTCAAAAACGCAAACTTCGCTGACTGTAAACCAGCTCCAACACCCATTACACCCAAATTCACAACATCTAAAACCTCTAATCAGCTATACCCAGATATGCAATATTATCGCAAACTAGCTGGATCGTTACAATATCTCACTATCATCAGACCAGACATCGCTTTTGCCACAAACTACATCTGCCAGCACATACATTCCCTTACAATTCAAGAATTTCAAACACTCAAACGGTTACTACGATACATCAAAGGTACATCTCATTTTGGTTTACCACTAACCATTGGAGATCATCAGCTTAGATCATACACAGATGGTCGACTGGGCAGCAGACTCACAGGACAAAAAATCAATATCATGCTATTGTACCTTCCTCGATAAGACTATCATTTCTTGGTCGGTCAAAAAACAAGTTACTGTCGCAAAGTCCATAGTAGAAGCTGAGTATAACTCCCTATCCTCAGCCACTGCAGACGTTCTATGGCTTCGAAGACTTGTTGCAAAATTCAAGATTCCTCAACAAGAACCTACGACTATCTATTGCGACAACACCTCTGCAATCGTCATTACAAACAATCCGGTCTTTCATGCACGTACAAAGCACATTGAAATTGACTTTAATTTCATACGTGAACACATGAAAGCCGATGCTATCTCCATTTCACATATCAACTCTACAGACCAACTTGCAGATATTCTCACCAAATCTCTTCCTATAGCAGCATTTGAAGATCTTCGCTCCAAATTAACTATTCATCACATGAATGCTTAATTTGAGGGGGCACGTTAGCTCATACATGTACACGTGTCATTTTATTATTGGTTATGTGTAACTATTAGTTGTTTCATTTCCTATATACACATTAGCCCTGTACCGGATACAATTAATAAATTCTTTACATTTTCTCTCTACCTCCTTCTCTATCTTGTTCATTTGTTGTTAACTTTCAGTATACAAAAGACTCAAATTCAATACCTCTTAGTTGATAGTCTAAGCTCCCAACCAACTAACCAAGATGAGCTGTGTAAGAAAATGAAAATTTTAAAAGCATGACATTGTCGTTATTTTTCTAAATTATTTACATATTCCCTTTTTCAATGATTTGAATGTAGAATCTTTTCATTTAATGGGTGTGGCATCATAGAATGAATTTGAAATTAATTTAATTCTTTAAGATTGTTTAATCAAATTTATTTATGTGCAAATCATGCTTTGACGCTAAACTCCCCTCCTCCCATCTCCTCAAAAAACAAATGAATCAATTAAATAAATTTGAGTTTGTTTGAGACAGTCTGCTTTACAGTTGGACAATAATTAGAAATTCGCTTGGATACTACTTTCTCACTCTGTTTAGTAAAATTATGATTGAAAGTTATTTTTTGCAGTCAAAACACAAAAGATTTCATTTACGATAGTTTTCTTACCGTTTTATGCAACAAATTTTTAGTACAAATATATTTTAAAAATAATTAAGAAGTATTGGTAAAAACTATCCCAAGTGAAATCTAATTTACTTCACTCACAACAACTTCTCAGTTAACTTTATAAAACTTTGCAATCAGCCCAAGCAATTCGTATAATTAATTTCAAAATTCGCCTTATAAATTTAATCAATTTACACTTTTTTTCATAAAATTGGACGCAAAATTTTTAAGCGTCAAAGGATGTGGTTGTTTTTTTTTTCTCTAATTTATTTTTGAGATATATATATATATAGATATATAATCTTATGATGTCTTATGTAGGAATAAAAAATTACTTAGAAT